AAATCATCTTACGGAAGACGGTCATTTGAAATTTAAGACACTGTAAATATGCAGTGCATCCACTGCATATTTATTCCCCATGTTGTGTTAATAATCTAGAAGTTCTCAATGAAATAGATCAACATTTATTGTAATTAGAGGTCAAGTGTGCTGTTGCAAGGTGCTGTTAAAGTAACAAAACATTTAGTTGGAAAATATTGTCTGTCATGTCGAAATGTCACAGATTTCATTGGAGTTTAATACTTTAACAATGTGTACTGAGGTCCTCAGGAAGGTGGTTGTACTTGCAGGTTGTGGCTGTTGCAGCTCGTAAATTAGAAGATGCTCAGGAGTTTGCCAATAAACACAGCATCTCTCGAGTTTACGGCAGCTATGAGGAGCTGGCCAGAGATCCAGACATGGGTCAGTGTCCATCTGCCAGAGGTTTTTCAGTTTATTTTTAATTATGAAGCTTTACAATACCTCCTGCTTTATATTAAATGTTTTATCCCATTTTAATTTTATCTTTATCTTTCATACTGTTATTTCTGAAAATGACACTATTCAGTGTTGTTTGACCTGTGTGCAGATATTGTCCATGTTGGAGTCATCCCCCCGTACCATCTGAACGCCTGTAAACTTTTCATAAATGCTAAAAAGAATGTTCTGTGTGAGAAGTCGCTGGCCATGAACACAAAGGAACTGAAAGAGATTCTGGACTCTGCCAAAAAGAACAACGTCTTCCTCATGGAGGTAAGCATGTTAGCAAACCAGGAAGAAAAAAATAATTTCTCTGTGTACTAATGCACACGAACAGTTTAAAACATGTTTTCTCTCCAGGCTGTGTGGACCCGTTTCTTCCAGGCCTCTGTGGAGATCAGAAATCTGCTGGCTCAGGAGTACATAGGGGAGGTGAAGATGGTCCGTGCCGACTATAGTTTGCCACTGTTGCACATGTCTAGATCGGATCAGAAGGACCTCAGTGAAGGCGCATTACTAGGACTTGGTATCTATTGCCTTCAATTCATAAGTATGGTATACAAAGGAGAGAAGCCGGAGAGTATCCAAGCTAGAGGCGTCTGCCTGGAGACGGGTAAGGAGTTAACAGGATGAGGCATTCATGTAACCTCAGAGGCTGTGCCAAATCAGTGACATTATGTGAGATGCTTTATACTCAAGTCAGTTAAGATTTTTATAATTGTGTGCTGATTCCTCCTTGGATGAATATTGAAAAGAAAAGCTGCTTACTTTTTAAAATTTTGACTTGAGACTCGCTGATCAACTTGTCAAGTATTGAAATCAGGACATCTGATTTGATTAGTCAAATTCTAAAACATGCGTTTCCCCCTGTTGAATGTTTCAAAAGTAAGAACCAAACTACCATTTTTCGTAGGTGTTTGGTTTTAATAGGAAAATTTGGATTGATGCATCTTCAGTTTTCACAAAAACCTTGAGCTGTCTATCAGTTTTCTGGCTTTGTTACAGTAAGTATTTCCCTACTGTAGTTGCATGCATTTCAACTTTTCTCTGCTCATAAAAGCTCTGAAATGCCAGAAAATTAATGTAAAAAGTCCTTTTAAAATGTAGATTAACCATCACAAACATCAGTTCAGACTTACAAAATGGATCATTTCATACCTTACAGTCTGACAAAAGAAATTTTATCTAATTGGTATGCTCCCAAAGGTATTTTCACATCCTGATTGGCCTTGTATAAACTCTAAATTAGCTTACAACTCTTTATTTTAAGCTTTTGTGGCTGTATTTTGAGTTTTAGCATCTTTTATCTACACTGTTGTATATTCTCCTCCCTGTAGGAGTGGATGAGACTGTGGCTGTCATTCTTAGGTATTCTAAGAACAGAATGGCAACGTTTACCTGCTCTGCTGGGGTTGAGCTACACAGTGAAGCCATTATTATTGGGACGGAAGGCAAAATCCAGGTAGGTTACAAAGGATGGCATGGCAATAATTCAAAAGGACCATTGAGTATGTTTAGTCGTTCGAGTGTTTTTATGTAGAACAAATTAGAAGTGTCTTCAAACTCTGATTTGACATTAATCTGATCCACATGTTCCAGGTCCTTTCTCCTATGTGGTGCCCCACATCAATCATTGTTGATAGGAAGGAGACGGAGTATCCGATACCTGAACGCTGCTTGTCTCTCAACTTTACCTACAGCACAGGGAAGCGTTACGAAGTAGAGGAGGTCCGCCAATGTCTGCTCAAGGGTAATGAGACATCAGCATTTTGCCTTCTGTAGGTCTGGTACCATTAGCTGTAGAACCTCTAAGATTCCAGAACCATCACAGAAGATGATGTTGTGCTTGAACCTACTGTTTCTGTGTAATCAGAACCAAGTTGTGTCTTGAGGATGGCTTCTGTCCAAACTGTTTCATAAACGCAAGCAGACAAGATTCGGCAGAGTTAAATCACTGTTCAATATTGTGGTGGCTATACAGACACCCTGTGTATCGTACATAAATACATAATTTATAATGAAAATTCTTAATATTTTGCTATGTTTGGAAGATCTACCAGTCTATTGATCAGCATTTTTTTAAAAATAAAATGGAGCATGTTTCACCACTTCACCTTGTAAAACAATTTTATGCCTCATTGAGTATAAAGTGTTCTGAAATATACAAGCAGAGAGCCTAAGGCATGTTACTTGGGTAGCTAACAATTGTTGCAACCCAGACAGCTCTTGGTGATATAGTGAACTCTTAGTATTTGTGGGATTTGTGACCCAAATGCTCCACAAATGGCAAAAATCCACAAATTCCTGGGCTCTGCTTTAAAAGAAGGTATAACTATCTATTGTAATAGTTCAAACGCCAAATATATCTGCACTAAAATGCACCAATCAAACCTTCTTGGCACTTGTGCTGAAGCTAACATCTACAGTCGTCTTTATTTTTATTGGGTGTGAACAGCTCCAAGAATAATCAATGAGTTTCCTGGATTAACTGCTTTGTAAACACCACCTAATGGCATCAAGTAGCTCTGCTAATATTTATTGATAAAAATTAGAGAAAAACCAAAAATGACTTATCTGATACTGTCGGTTTTTGAATGGAGTCTAAATCTCATCATGAAACATTTTTCATGATAAACAATACAATGACACTGGTATTACAGATGCATGCTGATGGAGAGCAGCAATGATGAAGACTTACATTTCCATTATTTTTTTTTTTATTGGAAACATTAGTGTAAAGGTTGTAGTAATCCCAGGTCGGAAGACCCTTAGATTTGTTGGATTTACCCACATAAATATTTTTGTTATTGGATGTTGTACATGTCCAATAATGACAACTATGAGTTCAGGCATCTGTGTGAACTCATGTAGTTTGTTACAAACATCATATACTGTAGCTGATATTAAAAAAAGCCACTTCAGGAATATTCATGAAATATGGGATACTTGTGGTTCAATGCAGCAGGAGGGTGTATGTGGAAAAAGGAAAAATAGGAGGTATTGGCAAAACTAAAAAGTTGAACATTTAACATCTTGTAAAACAGGGTTTAAGTCAACTGCATAAGCTAATCTCTGAACTGTGGAGCATTTGTCAGTATTCACACAACCAAGTATGTTTCTCTTTGCAGGGCTGAAGGAGAGTCCAGTTACGCCCCATGCCTACACTCTGCTGTTGGCTGAAATGGGGGATGAGATCCGCCGGCAGGTGGACGTGGTGTACAGCCAGGACTGCCAGTAAAAGTTCAACTTTTTCATGCTGTGATTAAATACAAGAAGTTTACAATGGAGACTAACTTACTCTGCTTCTGTTCCTGACAATCATTTTGGAGGAACATGGCAACCAGGTGGGGAATCTGCAGCGCGGGGAAGATCAGTCATGACTTCACTGTGGCTCTGAAAACTCTTCCTGCTGAAGACCATCAGGTGAGTGCGCCTGTTGCAACAGAGATAAATCCCACATGTGATTTAGATGAAACGTGCCTCTTTGTGTCATAGTAACATTCTTCCAGGTATTTATCTCCCTCCTGGTACTTTTTGTAAGATTTTTTTTTTATTACTTAAGCACGCATGATGTTGAATCGTGAAGCAGACGACTGTCAACGATTTTGTAAAACGTTTTCATTTTGATTAACAGCCAAGCTACCAAACTATCTACCATAAAGCACAGAATAGGATGCATGTAGCCTTTTCTGGAAATGAGTCTGGGAGTAACAGAACTGGAAATTAACAATTGAACAGCCTCAGTCATTGCATTTTTACCAGTCAGACAAATGTCACTTTTTTCCAACTACAAAACAAATTGAGTTTATATGAATGATGCCCTCTGCTGGAGGAGTGAAAGTGCTAAAAACAGATTACTGGTGCAGGATTTTTAATAAAGTGGAATGGATGTCTTTACCAAATAAGAAAATAACAATTTACCTCTAAAGTATTTATAATTAATGTGCATCATCTGTGACTTCACAGGTTGTGGCTGTTGCAGCTCGTTTGTTGGAGGACGCTCAGGAGTTTTCCAGAAAACACAACATCTCTAAGGCTTATGGCAGCTATGAGGAGCTGGCCAGAGATCCAGATGTAGGTCAGTGTCCTTCTGCCAGAGGCTTTTCAGTTTATTTTTCATTTCAAAACTTTACCTCAGTATTGTTTCCTTTTATCCAGTTTTAATTTTCTCAATATTTCATACTATTATTTCTGAAAGAAGAGTATCATTCAGCATTATATTTGACCTGTGTACAGATGTTGTGTATGTTGGAGTCATCCACCCATACCATCTGAACGCCTGTAAACTTTTCACAAATGCTAAAAAGAATGTTCTGTGTGAGAAGCCACTGGCCATGAATGCTAAGGAAGTGAAAGAGATTCTGGACTCTGCCGAAAAGAATGACGTCTTCCTCATGGAGGTAAGCCTGTAGCAAACCAGGAAGAAAAAAATAATTTCTCTGTAAACGGTTTACTATTGCACAAAAGTTTTAAAACATGTTTTCTCTCCAGGCTGCGTGGACCCGTTTTTTCCCAGCCTCTGTGCAGATCAGAAATCTGCTGGCTCAGGAGTACATAGGGGAGGTGAAAATGGTCCGTGCGGACTATGGTGTGCCAAGATCAGATCAGAAGGAGCTTGGTGGAGGAGCATTACTAGATCTTGGCATCTATTGCCTTCAATTCATAAGTATGGTGTACAACGGAGAGAAGCCGGAGAGTATCCAAGCCAGCGGGGTCTGCCTGGAGACGGGTAAGGAGTTAACAGGATGAGGCATTCATGTAACCTCAGAGGCTGTGACATTATGTGAGATACTACTTTACACTCAAGTGAGTTAAGATTTTATATTTTGTGCAGATTCCTCCTGGGATGAATATTGAAAAGAAAAGCTGCTTACTTTTTAAAATTTTGACTTGAGACTTGCTGATCAACTTGTCAAGTATTGAAATCAGAAAATATTTACTTGTCTCTGATTTGATTAGTGAAATTCTAAAAAGAAAAATGCTTTTCCACCCTGTAAGTAAACAAAAGTAAGAACCAATCTACCATTTATGGTTTTTAATAGGAAAAGTCGGATTAATGAATCTTGAGCTGTCTATAAACTTTATTTTTCTGGCTTTGTTGCAGTAAATAATTCCCTAGTGTAGTTCCATATCTTTTACAACCTTTCTCTGCACACAGTTTTCTGGCATTTCAGAGCTTCTTACCAATGTAAAAAAAATGCTTTTAAAATAAAGAAAATGTAGATTAACCATCATAAATTAAAATGAGTACATCAGGCCTTAGAAAATGGATCATTTTATACCTTACAAATTAGAAATGTAATCTAATAAGAATGTTCCTAAGCTATGTTCACCTCCTGATGGACCTTACAGAAACTCTAAATTAGCTTACAACTTTTCATTTTCAGCTTTTGTAGCTGCATTTTGAGATTTGACATTTTTTCTCTACAATGTGTTGTATATTCTCATCCCTGTAGGAGTGAACAAGACTTTGGCTGTCATTCTTAAGTATTCTAAAAACAGAATGGCAATGTTCACCTGCTTTACTGGGGTCCAGCTGCACAATGATGCCATTATTGTTGGGACAAAAGGCAAAATCCAGGTAAGTTACCAAGGATGGCATGTTTAGTTTGAGTGTTTTTATGTAGGAGAAATTAGAAGTGTCTTCAAACTCTGGTTTGACATTAATCCGATGCACATGCTCCAGGTACCTTCACCGATGTGGTGCCCCACCTCACTGGTAGTTAATAAGAAGGAGACCCAATATCCAGTACCTGAACCCTCCTTGCCTCTCAACTTTACCAACAGCACAGGGAAGCGTTTCGAAGCAGGGGAGGTCCGCCAGTGTCTGCTCAAGGGTAATGAGACTTCAGCATTTTGCCTTCTGTAGGTCTGGTACCATTAGCTGCAGAACCTCCTGCCCTCCAGAACTATCATGGAAGATAATGTTGTGCTTGAACCTACTGTTTCTGTGTAATCAAAACTAAGTTGTGATTTGTGGGGATGGCTTCTGTCAAAACAGTTTCATAAATGCAAGCAAACAAGATTCAGCAGAGTTAAATCACTGTTCAATATAGTGGTGGATATTTTTGTTGGGGGCAAACAGCTCCAAGAAAAACCAATGAGTTTCCTGCATTAACTGCTTTGTAAACAACAGCTAAAGGCATAAAGTAGCTCAGCAAATATTAATAAACGGTAGAGCAAAAAACATCAAAAATTGTATGTGAAAAATGGGAAGTATTGACAAAAGGTTGTACTGAACATGGCTAGAGGTGAACAATTGACATCTTGTAAAACGAGATTTAAGTCAACTGCATAAGTTCCTCTAATCTCTGAACTTCTGTAGAGCATTTGTGTCGGTAGACAGCCGACTCATCAGTATGTTTCTCTTTGCAGGGCTGAAGGAGAGTCCAGTCATGCCTCATGCTGACTCTCTGCTGTTGGCTGAAATGGAGGATGAGATCCGCCGGCAGGTGGGAGTGGTGTACAGCCAGGACTGCCAGTAAAAGTTCGACTTATTCGTGTTGTGATAAAATACAACCAGTTTACAATGGAGACCAACTTACTCTGGTTATTTCCGGAATAGTCCATTTCATGTGATTAAAAGTGTTTATATTTTGTAGGAAAACACTACTTGATCTCCACCTTTGATTAACTTATTTTTGAAATATAAACCACTCAAGATGACCTCTCTCAACCACATGAGACGGGTTAGGAAGCTGTTTAATATTTACATGTTGCACACCAGCTTTGTATACAGATTTATTGAAACTCACTGAACACTGTCAACAATGAAATGTAAAGTCTTTGACAATCTGTGAAATAAATGTTATAGCAAAGTTCTAAAAAAATTGCAAATCTGTTTTTCTTTATCCCATCTTTAAAGTTTTGTTCAGCAACATATATCTATATGGTAGGAGTTCGTCTCCTTGAATGTGTTAAAATGTGTAAAAGCAGACTATAGACTACAATTTTGTTATGAATTGTATCGGCAGCAAGTTATTTATTAAAAAAAATGCAGTTTTCTTTAAATTGGTGTTTAAGGGAAAATGTAAATGAACCAACCAGATCTTAAATAAAAAATAAAAAAAAATTGGTCGTGCAACAGGTGGTTGCAGAACATGACAGTGAGTCTTTATGTAACCTAGTTGTCTTTCTCTTATAATTATACAATGTATTTTGGTTATTTCTATTGTTCCTTACCTGACTGAAACGCCTCTAAAAATTAGTCATTGTTTTACTTTAAGAGCGGAAGCCCCTCCTTTATATTTCTTCTTCTGTGGTATTGTCTTTAAATTGTTTGCGCCCCTCGGACCCTCCCCTTTTGACCTGTTGTCCTGTGGGAGAGGTTAGTATTGTTTTCATCAAAATGCATCCAGTTTATTTATATATCTGTTAATTTTTGTTTGTGTAGGACTTGGAGCGGGCAGCCTATAACACGGTTGTTTGCTGTATGTTTTCGTCAGGCATGTTGTATAAAAAGTTTTATTTTGCTTATTTGAAAGTTGAGACATGGTCCCCTCCCCCTCCTTTTGTCATGTTGTCCTGCGGGAGAAGATGTTGAGCCGGCAGCCTATAACACGGTTGTTTTCTGTATGTACTCATTAGAATCGGGGTCATTCTCTAAATTCGGTGCATTTTGTGTCCCACAAGTTTATTTCAAATATTTGCATATAATGCAAACCACTTTTTTTCTTTTTTTCTTTTTTTTTTTGGAGAAAATCAAGAAATGGAAATATCCATGTGTCTTGGTAATGCAACATGCAAATGTTTTTAAAAATGTTATGGGTTGTTGAAGTGTAGAGGTCAGCCAAATGAGCATGTCCTCACTGACCAATATTAATTTGTCAAAAATAATGCCCAGTAACTGTTATTTGTACCATTATAAACATCTTTGGTATACTTTAACCTAAAAAGAAATCTGAGAAAAATACATGAATTATTTATAAAATCGCACTTTTTAATTATGTCCCTCCAAATTTGTTCAATCCCGTAACAGCATGCCAATCCCTCCTTTTTATAAATTTTCTCGGTACCCTGGAAGTGACATCACTTATTTATCTTCCCTCTCACACGGTAAAGAAATTTAAGTGTTAGAAAAGTTTCTTGCCTATACAAGAAACTGTATAATAACCCTCGCTATAACGCAGTTCACCTTTCATGGTCTCGCTGCTTCGCGGATGTTTTTGTGCAATTTTTTTTTTCCACACTGCATTGTGTTCTGCGTCCTGATTGGCTAAACCAGAGGTTCCCAAACTGTGGGCCGCGCCCCCAAGGGGGGGCCCCACAGTTTGTATGAGCTGGGTTTTTACCTTAGAATGGCCAACTCTGTTATTCCTCTGTCAATTTGATACAGTGGGGGCTTCCGCACTTCCCATATCTGTGTCTTCTGTCACTTTTATTAGCAGTTAAAACTGTTTAATCCGTTGTTAACATGTCGTAACCTGTTTTTCCGAGCCTCCATCAAACGCAACATGAGTGCTAAGACGCTCGCGCTGGGTCTACACCTGTGCGGCAGCGACGGAGACCTGCTGCTGCTTTGTAGAGCTGCTCAGGTTTGTGTTAGAATCGTGGCAGCAAAACACAAAGAACTTTTCAGTTTTTTCTCCAAACTAACCGACTGAGTTGAGTAAAGCTGCTGGATGCAGGTAATGTCGGCTAAAATATGACTAGCTAAATAATACAGTCCCTTAAATTTAACAAGTAGCCTGCAGGCTACTGATGTCTGTGTTCAGCTACAGCGATTCATTTTGCCACTCCAAAATAAGTTGACCCCCCATCCCCCAACTGTCCCCATTTGTAATCCATATGGGGGGTCCAGGAGAGAATGTTTGGGAACCACTAAACTTGCTGATGCGGACATAAGGCAACTTTTCGTGAAAATCATCAACCCCATTACAAAAACAGTGATTTTGTAATGGGGTTGAATGTTGGAATGTTGTTAAGCCAGCCAGACTGTTCAACCCTGCTATAGTCTGGTCAAATTTTACACTGGGTTCAACCCCATAACGTGATACATTGTTATAATTTTTTTAGAATAACAGTAAATATTAGACTAATATTTGTTGGACTATATGCAAAATTTAAAGAGGGATTCAAAAACATTAAAAAGCCTGACTTAATGTTTATTTTAAAATCTATTTTCATGATTTATGAAAAGCCCTTTTATATCAAGTTGCCATGCTCTACTTATCGGTCTTATGATTCACAATCAAATAAAATATACTTACAATTAGTTATTTTAATCAAGGGACAGTTGATCTCAAAGGAACTGGAAGAATTAGTTTAATTATGTTATAGAGTTTTACTCAGAAGAATGAAATTGTCCCATTAAGAGGTTGAATTTAAAGCAACCAAAGTAGCAAAGAAATTCGTATTAATGTTTGGGATTTCATGCATAAGGTGGGGAGACACATTTTCTTGGAGGTTCAAGAAAACAATGCAATAGATGCGTTGTTTAAAAACACAATTTTTTGTGGCATGTTTTTTAGTAACCTGAGACCCCAAATTCACCAAATTCAAAGAATCACCCTAAAATCAAGAAAAAAAATTAAACATTACAAAAATAATACATGAGCTTGTATCAAAAGTATTTCTCCAGCCTGAATAATCACAACCAATAATCATAAACACTTAAGAAATAAACAAACGAATGGAATATAGAGCCTTTATTTCCCCCACAAAATTTTATCTACCTTTGCTAGCTGTTTTTGAAATGTTCATGAACATACATTCAGTTCTTTTGGTAAAAGAATGATCCACTAATTGACTGAGATTATAATTTTAGTCTATAAAAGACTTAATTTTTAAATGTGGAAGTATTAAAAACACTTATATAATGATCCACAGGACCCCCGAATAGACCTTATCAGGGAGGCTTAAGAGTGTGACCCCTCTGTAATTGGAACACACCCTCCGGTCCCCCTTTTTGAACAGGGGGACCACCACCCCAGTCTGCCAATCCAGGGGAACTGCCCCCGATGTTCATGCGATGTTGCAGAGTCGCGTCAGCCAACACAACCTTGCAACATCCAGAGCCTTAAGGAACTCCGGGCGGATCTCATCCACCCCTGGGGCCCTGCCACCAAGGAGCTTCTCAACCACCTTGGTGACCTCGTCCCCAGAGATTGGAGAGCCCAACCCAGAGTCCCCAGGCTCAGCTTCCTCAATAGAAGGCATGTTGGTGGGATTGAGGAGGTCTTTGAAGTATTCTGCCCACAGGGCCCACAACATCCCAAGTCGAGGGCAGCAGCACACCATCACCACTATAAACAGTGTTGGTGCTGCACTGCTTCCCCCTCCTGAGACGCCGGATGGTGGACCAGAATCGCCTCGAAGCCATGCAGCAGTCTTTTTCCATGGCCTCTCCAAACTCCTCCCACTCCCGAGTTTTTGCCTCAGTGACCACCCGAGTCGCATGACGCTTCACCTGCCGGTACCCATCAGCTGCTTCTGGAGTCCCACAGGCCAAAAAGGCCCGATAGGACTCCTTCTTCAGCTTGACAGCATCCCTCACTGAAGGTGTTCGAGGGTTGCCGCCACGACGTTACAGTGCCGGTGTTAACAAGATGCCAACATTCAACCTTGTTACAAAATCACTGTTTTTGTAACGGGGTTGAAGATTTTCACTAAAAGTTGCCTTAAGCCCACATCAGCTAGGTTATGGAGCAACATTTGATATAATAAAAACAAGAAATGAACATACTTTTCAAAGATGATTCTTTACTTTTTCCCAAACAACAATATAATTTATGTGTGCAACAGTTTTGAAAGGTTAGAGATGGCTATGCTAATGTTTAAACATATTAGCTGTATCAGCTTGTCCATATTAAATAAATAAAATCAATTTGACTGGAATGGTTTCCAAGCATCCATGCATTCATGCTGTTCACATATTAAATGGACGTGCAAGTCATTATTAGTGTGACGTTACTAGAAGACCGACCATATAAAAGGCAAATTGGTGCTCTCTCTCCATCTGGTAACAGTGAACACCTACTACGGTGGCGCTACCTTGTGAGGGCAGAGACAGCTGAGGACACTTGATTCAACATGGCAACCAGGTGGGGAATCTGCGGCGCAGGGAAGATCAGCCATGACTTTACTGTGGCTCTGAAAACTCTTCCTGCTGAAGACCATCAGGTGAGTGAGCCTGTTGCAACAGAGATATGAATCCCAAGTGTGATTTAGATGAAACGTGCCTCCTTGTGTGTCATAGTAACATTATTCCGGGTACTTAATTACCTCCTTATAGTTCTTGTAAGATGTATATTCTTTTTTATAAATTGAGCACACATGATGTTGAGCCATGTCTAAATTTGCAGACGACCGTTAATGATTTTGTAAAACGTTTGCATTTGTATTAACTGCCAAGCTGCCAAACTTTCTACCATATAGCACAGAATAGGACGCATGTATTTGTTTCTGGAAAATTAGTCTGGGAGTAACGGAGAACTAGAAATTAACAATTAAATTGAACAGCCTCAGTCATGCATCTTTACAGGACCAGTCAGGCAAATGTCACTTTTTACCAACTGTGAAACAAAGTGAGTTTATATGAATGATGCCCTCTGCTGGGTGACGAGTGAAAGTGCCAAAAAAGATGTAAGGCCTAAAAACAGATTACTTGCACATTATTTTTAATAAAGTGGAATGGATGTCTTTACCAAATAAGAAAATAACAATTTACCTCTAAAGTATTTATAATTAATGTGCATCATCTGTGACTTCACAGGTTGTGGCTGTTGCAGCTCGTTTGTTGGAGGACGCTCAGGAGTTTTCCAGAAAACACAACATCTCTAAGGCTTATGGCAGCTATGAGGAGCTGGCCAGAGATCCAGATGTAGGTCAGTGTCCTTCTGCCAGAGGCTTTTCAGTTTATTTTTAATTTTAAAACTTTACAATACCTCTTATTTTAAATGTTTTCTTTTATCCAGTTTTAATTTTCTTTGTTTCATACTGCCATTTTTGAAAAATATTGAAGAGTATCATTCAGCATTATATTTGACCTGTGTGCAGATGTTGTGTATGTTGGAGTCGTCCACCCATGCCATCTGAACGCCTGTAAACTTTTCATAAATGCTAAAAAGAATGTTCTCTGTGAGAAGCCGCTGGCCATGAACACCAAGGAAGTGAAAGAGATTCTAGACTCTGCCAAAAAGAACAACGTCTTCCTCATGGAGGTAAGCATGTAGCAAACCAGGAAGAAAAAAATAATTTCTCTGTATATAATTTACTATTGCACACTTGAAGACCTTCAAAAGTTAAACAGTTTAAAACATGTTTTCTCTCTAGGCTGTGTGGACCCGTTTTTTCCCAGCCTCTGTGGAGATCAGAAAGTTGTTGGCTCAGGGGGAGATAGGAGAGGTGAAGATGGTCGGTGCCGAGTACGGTGTGCCACTATTCCACGTGCCAAGATCAGATCAGAAGGACCTCGGTGGAGGAGCATTACTAGGTCTTGGCATCTCCTGCCTTCAATTCATAAGTATGGTGTACAACGGAGAGAAGCCAGAGAGTATCAAAGCCAGCGGGGTCTGCCTGGAGACGGGTAAGGAGTTAACAGGATGAGGCATTCATGTAACCTTGGAGGCTGTGCCAACTCGGTGACATAATGTGAGATAGATAGTTAAGATATTTGTAATTGTGTGCACATTCCTCCTGGGATTAATATTGAAAAGAAAAGCTGCTTACTTTGTTTATTATGACATGAGACTCACTGATCAACTTATCAAGTATTGAAATCAGAAAGTTAACTTGTCTCTGATTTGCTTAATCAAATTCTAAAACATGCGTTTCCCCCCTATTTGAATGTTTCAAAAGTAAGAACCAAACTACCATTTTTCGTAGGTGTTTGGTTTTAATAGGAAAATTTGGATTGATGCATCTTCAGTTTTCACAAAAACCTTGAGCTGTCTATCAGTTTTTTGGGTTTGTTACAGTATATAAATCCATACTGTAGGAGGGAATTTCAACCTTTTTTTTTTTTTTTT